CCATCCTGTGGAAAACTGACTTTTCCTTGCCTTTTTGATATAAAAGTGATTGATATAAAAGTGTTTGACATATTATTTAAAAATTAACAAACTTCCAAAACCATGTATGGAGTCCATATAAGATGCAAAAACAGCCCATTTTAAATGTATCAATACATCATGGAGTTTGTTCTGCAGTATTCTAGCCTGGACTGCTCTTTGCCTGAGGACATGCAATCAGAACAGTGCTCATTTACATGTACCAGTCTTAAAGGCACAGTAACAAAAACAGCCTGTTAAATTCTGAGGAATAAAGAGAGGCTGGAAAAAAGTCATGTTAAAATGAATTATGACTGTTTTTGGTGCATAAAACCACACACACGGCATATATGAGCTTTACAAGCATCTCCATCAACTCCTTGTCCTCCTGAAGGTGATCATTTGTAGAGTCCCTCAGATTAGCACCATGCGCTAACAGGGCTCTAAAGCAGCTGCCTGGCTCCACCAGCCATGTGTGGATTTCCTCACCTGCTCCGGAGGGTTTTGGCATTGTGGGGCAGCGTAATACTGACGTTTAACAGCATGTCAGATCTCCCAGAAATCCCCCATGGGACACATAGACATTGGTCAGGGCCCCCCTGACATCAAAACATGGTGGCCCACAGGAAATGTGGAGGTTCTGGGTCTCCGGGACAGGGGTCAGTGGGGTCAGGGTCAGAAGGGTTTTGGGTTTCTCCTTACAGATGTGTTGGAGCAGTGGACCGCAAGTACATACACAAGGGCATTTTGGTGCCTGCAACTGCTTATCATTCCTGCAGAATTTGGTAGAAATTATCATTATAATAAATTGGGAGCTTTAAACTTAACAGCATTTGCTATAACAAGGTAGCAAGACCCAGTGTCCTTGAGGACTCTAAGGCTTTGGCAGTATAGTCACTGATTTAGCAGTAATATTAACAATAGTTGATATAAAAATAAAATAAATAAAACAAACGCAAATGCCATGAGACCAACCACAATGCAGAAGAACTCTGAAGTTCCGGCTAAAGCCTGAGTAGACTGATAAATCAATGTGATCGGTTATTAATCTCAGTGTTACTGAGCTCTGCTAAAGCCTGAGTAGGCTGATAAATCAATGTGATCAGTTATTAATCTCAGTGTTACTGAGCTCTGCTAAAGCCTGAGTAGACTGATAAATCAATGTGATCAGTTATTAATCTCAGTGTTACTGAGCTCTGCTAAAGCCTGAGTAGACTGCAGAGACTGTATACAACATATACATCATTTATAAAACATGACCAATAAAATTACTGCTGTTTGTTTATCAAATCATTTGGAAGCCCAACATTTTTAGCATTCATTTTTATTGCATTAGCTGCCAAACTATATAACTACTAGAAAAGTGACCAATTTAGAGATACTTTTTTTTCTTTGGACAGTGACGATATGTAAAGCAGGTTATTATAAAGATATGAGAGCAACTGTATAGCTGGTTCAGGCCAGCGTCCCTGTTTACATTGTTTTCTAATAGGTTTAGCATGTAGGCCTCAGGAAAATTAGCTGAATTTAGGAGAGCAGAAGGAAAAGCTCCTATAGCGTTTAACACAGGGGTCGGCAACATGTGGCTCTAGAGCCGCATGCGGCGATTTTACTGTCCTGTTGCGGCTCCACAGCAGAATTAAATTTGTAGGTAAAAATAAAATAATCCTCCTTTACAGTAAAATAAAGCTCTGCTGATCGTTCAACACAGTTTAACAATAAATGGTCTTAAACTCTGGAGTTAATGTAGAACTGCTAATTCACTCTTTAACCCTGAAGGTTGGCGCACACACTGCTGGTCACCATAGCAACATAGACAACAGTCTTGCCTAGCTAGTAGCTAACGAAAAGGCAAAGAGAAAGATTTAAGATGAGCATCGATAATTTGGAGATGAATGGACTTATTTACATTTATAATCACTCCAGCTGGAAGGCAAAGAGCAGTCCAGGCTAACCATAATCACTCCAGCCTGGACTGCTCTTTGCATTTACCATGCATAACCATTTAAGGTGGAACAGAAAAATTCGGACAAGAAGCTGGAGAATGAGAAGCGACTTCAGCTTCGTGAAAAGTCGAATGTTAAGAGACATTTTACAAGAAACTGTTCTACTTTTGAGGAAAAGTTTCCTGCTGGAGATGCGAGAAAAGCAGCTATAGCTGAGCTAAAGCTTAAAGCAGAGCAAAATAAGTCTGTGTTTTCGTTTATATTATGTTTTTTAGCCTATATGAGGATATTAGCACATACTGAGACATATTTACAGCCAAGATGGTAAAATGGACATTAAATGTTGTGGCTCCCAAGGTGGCTGGATTTTTACTGAAAGGACAAAATGGCTCTTCTTAACATTTGGGTTGCGACCCCTGATCTAACAGAACCGTGAAGTGTGAGTGTTCCTGTGCTGTCAGGATGACAAGAGAGAATGAGAGAAACAGGTGTGAGAAACATGTTGATCCCCCACCTCGCTCTCTCTCTCTCTCTTTCTCTCTCTCGCTCTCTCTCCTTCTGCAGGTTGACATGTTGATCTATGTTTACAGTGGGAGTAGGGGGCAGGGTGGGGATGGGGGCATACATCTCATTCTCTCTATCTTCCCATCAGACAGTCCTTCCACATCATTTCAGCACCTCCTTGTGCTCAAAACAGCTCTAAAGCACTGAGTACTGAATCAGTAATAGCTTAATTTGAACCAGACTTGCAGTTGGTTTTGTATGAACTGCTGCAGTCACTGTTCACACACTATAGTATGTGCAACATGAATATGAACTATAATAAGAAGGAAACTTGTGTGCTTAAAAAGAATTCTGTGCATCTTTAAAGGCTCCATATCATTTGACGTAGTGTATAAACTTTGCTAAAATTTAAAAAAGGTCCATAAAGATCATATCTGGAGACCAAGCTTCAAAAAACAGCATGTTTTCCATTCATTGTTTCTGTGATGTCACAACAACCAACACATTTATGATATGTCTGCCTATTCAGCCTATACAGCCTATTAGCCCCGCCCGCTCACACTGAAGTTTTAAGGAGTGTTTCATCCTGGACTGCTTGGTGAATGAGAGCAGCCAATCGGAGTGATTCATTTAAAGGGGAATTCCATCAATTTTTAAGAAATTCTGCATAATCCAGTCCTTGAGATGTAAACAGAGTCAAACAGAGTGGATTGGTGTGAAATGGTTGATTGTAGAGAAACTTACAGACTCAGATTTCTTTACAGTGGTGGTGATAGGAACCAGGGGTCGCCATGACTACAATACAAATATAGACATTTTATGTACTCTTCAAAACCACCAGTGAACCTGGATGTGTCTTATGAGTTTTATATGGATTGTTGATGATGGTAAAATAGTCATAAATCTGAAAAATAAGTTTTCTTTGAGGAATATTTTGCCTCACAACACCCTGCATTTATCCCTCCACCATGAACGGATTAAAATAAATGGATTAAAATACTTTTTAAGCTAAAACTTTATCACAGAACTATCGTGAAACAGTGTCTCACACATCAGGCAGTGAATTCATAACCATTTACTGTAATAACTTTCTGTGAGGGAGCTTTTAGAGGTGGATGTCTGGTTCCACCACTGTGAACAATTCTGATTGGTCAGTTTCTCCAGAACAGAGCATTTCACACCAAACCACTCTGAATGACTCTGTTTACATATTAACCATTTGATTATGCAGAAATTTTGAAAAATTGTGGAGTTCCCCTTTATTCCTTTAAAATCCCAGGCTTACTACATACAAAGGTTTATTATTCAGTAACTACATGGACTTGCAAACTGGCTGAGCTATTCTTAGGTTATAGAAGTGTGTAATAAAACATTGGGCCCTAGCCATTTAAAGGGGTTAAATAGATCAGTCTTAAAGGTGCAGTAACAAAATCAGCCTGTTTGATTCTGAGGGATAAAGAGAGGTTGGAAAATAGTCATGTAAAAATGAGTTACGACAGGTTTTGATACATAAAATAAGACTAACATTATTGGTGGATCTGGTGGGGCTGGAATAACATTTCGCTTTACAAGAATAAGTGGGCATTTCAGTAAAGTCTACAGGAATTTCTCACAATATTCTCATTAATAGGTCTGACGGCTTTGAAATAGGATTAAACTGTGGCAGAACTAGAGAAGCCTCCCCCCAACCCCCCATCTACCTGCCCTACTCATCCGAATAGCGCTCCAGTCCCCACCCTTTCACTTTTCCTCCTTAACATCCCCTTATCCATCAACCCCCCACCCACTTGTCCCCACCCTTTCTCAGCTCCCCCACACACATACACACACTAAAATAATGAATCAAATACATTACACCAGCACCGTTATCACCATTGGACCATTATTGAAATATAACTACAGTGGTGGTGATAGGAACCAGGGGTCACCATGACTACCACACAAAAATAGTCATTTTATTTACTATCCAAAACCACCAGTGAACCTACACGAGTCTTATGAGTTTATATGGAATGTTGACGATGGCAAAATAGTGGGAAATCTGAAAAACAAAATCTTTAGGGGACTATTTTTGCCTCACAACGCCCTGCATGTATCCCTCCACCCTGCATTTAGGCCCAAAACGTCCAAAAAACTATCATAAAACAAAGTCTTGTCGAGTTTATGTACGGAATGTTGGTGATGGTAAAATTGTGGAAAATCTAAAATAAGTTTTCTCTGGGGACTATTTTGCTTCACAACACTCATCCACTATGAATGGATTACCCCCCACACACTACCTGCCCCCCATTACCCCCCAAACTCCCCCCACACACTACCTGCCCCTCATTACCCCCTCCAACTCCCCCCACACACTACCTGCCTCCCATTACCCCCACAAACACTACCTGCACACACACACACACACGCACACACACACACACACACACACACACGGACATACGCACGCACGCACACGCTCCCCCCTCGCGCTGCGGTGGGCAGGTCCCGTTTCCCAGCAATCTCAGTAGAGCTGCTTGCGCTGCTCGCGCACAGAGCTCGCGCTGCGCTGACCGAAGAGCACACAGGTTACTACACTGGACAAGTTTTATATTTAAACCCGCAGGAAAGTTTCTCTGACCGCCGGACCGGACTGACCAGAGAGAGAGAGAGAGAGCGAGAGAGAGAGAGAGAGAGAGAGAGAGAGAGAGAGAGAGAGCTGCTGGACACGCGGACACTGAAAGGTGAGAGTTTATCATTCACTAACAGAGCAGCGAGTCTGAACCGAACTCACTAACGGCAGTTTAAACGAGATTAATCCGCGCGTGTCGCGCTTTGCACGCGCATTTCTGCTCTTATTCTCAGACTGGGATTATTTTCTCGCGCGCGTGTTGAAAATCCGCCGTGTTTAGAAATGAAACATCACTTTTTTGGGCATCTGAATGCGCGCGCGGTCTTATAATCACAGCAGAACGTGAATGAGAAAAAAAAACAACATAAATATTCATCTCGCTTTACTTGAATCTGTCATTCCGGTTGTGCGCGAGACCTGCTCGATTAACCCACGTGTATGTCGCGAGTGGATTATTATTAAGTGGATTACTGATTATCCCGGTGATAAACAGTGTGTCGTGGCTGCTGATTGGTGTTCAGCGTGAAATCAGCACGTGCTAATCGTGATTAATGAGCCTCTGATTTGATTGACGTTTGGCAGTCAGTGATTGACTCGAGGCTGGATGCTTTAGTGACTGTTTCACAGAAATCCTGTGATAAAGTGTGAGCTGCTGCTCCAGCTGAGTGGGTGTCTTTTTGTTACAGAGGTGAAACGATACAGATGTTTTCAGATTTTGGATTCTGAGCTCAGATTTTGATCAGATTTTTTATATTTTGTGTGTTATTTATGATGTGAGAGAGCTTTAGTAGGCTGGTCTGGATAAGACAAAGTCCAATTTTATGTCAATAAAAAACAAACATTGTTGCTGCTGGATCAAAACCCTCACATCTTCACAGAAGAAGGAAAAACATTCTGAACTGCTTGTGTAAATTAATGTAAAGATATTTTATTTCAAGTGATTCTGGAGCTTTTCTATTCATCCATTCATCACACAAGGTGAAAGGCAGCCGATAAAGATGCCAAAAAAGAAAAACAAACACAGACATACAAGGTTTTGCTCCAACATTGAATTGAATTGAACTGAAGTGAAACTGAATTGAAAGAACAACAAAAATCCCTGTGCAGTGCAGCTGAGCTATAAACAGCACAGAAACAGGTAGGGTGTCTAGTTTGCTTCCCTCAGAAGTAAATAAGAGATGCTCAGAGCTGTAATGGTGCATTGTGGAGGATGGACATTCGGGGTAATTATACCATCAAATCCAACTGTATTGTTCAAACACCAACATTCAAAAATGATCAGCATCAACTCACTCCAGCCATCCTGGAAAGCAAGAACATGATCATAGTCTTCATTTTCAAATTTTGTTCAAAATATTATGAGAGCCCAGGCTGAAGCAAACCCAGGTGAATCGATTCATGAATCAGTCGTGAATCGAGTCATGGGGGAGGGATGTCAAAGAAAGAAGACTAATGCCACACAACCACTATATACACATATATAGTCACTATCAAAACAAAACCTTGTTTCTCCAAAATGAAAACTTTACACTTTATAGGAGGAAAAACATTCAAACTTTTAATGCTTTTACTGGAAGGTAGTACAAAACAGATTTTTAGTCCATGTGATTTTGTTGCCCCGTGAGCCAGAAGTATAAAGCGGTTTAAGAAAATGTGTGTGTGTGTAATTTTGTTGCATTTTGCATTTCCATTGGTCCATTCATCAAAGAACGTTCACACAACGTAAAGTCTGGCTTACATTTTAAATTATTATATAATTATGTGTAAATGTTTGTACTGTGTTGCATAACTTTAAAACACCAGCCTTTTTTTGCGTTATGTTAAAACAGACAAAACAAATATGGTTAAAAATTATGTGTGAAAAAAAAATAGTTGTTTTTCAGTTTTTGGCATAATTTTTACCCATAGTCCTATGTTGTATGTAATTTTTATGATGAATGGACTAAAAGAAACATCCCAAAATTACTTGGAAAGAACCCAGGTTCCATTGACTTACATTAAAGGTAGAGTATGTTTTTTCCTTCTCCTGTAAAGTTAGCATTTTGGAGATACGAGGGTTTGTTCCGACAGCGGCAACACACACACACACACACAAACACACACACACACACATATATATATATATATAGTATATATATATATATATATATATATATATATATATATATATATATATATAGTGGTTGTGTGGCATTAGTCTTCTCTCTTTGACAAAAAATGCCTTTTTCTCTTAAAAAACTGCAGCTTTTATTAGGAGAAGTAAAGAAAGTCAATGCTGAGGTTAAGGTTAGGGTTGAGTTAGAGGTAACACAGCAGCATTTATCTACAGTCATATAGAAAGACCCCACAAAGGCAGGAATACAAGCTGTGAGTGTGGGTTTGTGGTCAGACGGATTTAAAGACGTTTTAATGGAGATGCTGAAAAACTGCTAGCGCTGTTATGCCTTTAATTTGAGCACGCCTGCATGTTTAATTAGTGACTTGGTAACAGACCTGACTGGACTTCAATGTTCATTGACCTTAGATGTTCAAAGCTGTTCGTAAACAGTTTGAAGGGTGCTGATAATCTTCATACTGTCAGAATGTATAACCGGACAAACACCAGTGGGCAGAGAAAGGTGACTTGTAAGGTATTATCACATCCTGACCTGGAACAGAAAGCCTTTAGTCATTGTTTCCCAGCTCTACTTTATGCAGTACAGAGAGTCTTGAGCTTTAACCCATAGAAGCGCAGAGTTATTACTTTTGTTGTGTTTCTTACTATTCAAATGTAATTACTTAATTACATAATTACATATTTAAGGCTGCACTATGTAAGAAGTAGCATTTCTGAGTCACCTTGTAAGCCCTGAAACAGTAATTTAAAGGGCAGAGGCGTCATGTCAAGAGTTTTTCAGACCATGTCATATGTCTTTACACATTAACGTCACACACACAGGGTCAAAGAGAAGGTCTGGCTTGGTGTTCAGGTCTCAAATGATCTAAAAATCAACATTGTACTCATTAAGATGTGATGACAATAGATAATTCACTCACATCCTCTGGAGACACATCCTTCACCAAGGTTTGACTAAATTCTCTTCAAATTTTCTTTCAACATGCTCACAATCACCAGATTCATCTGTTTGTAGAAGGGGTACAAACCCACTTTACAAAATGTTCATGCAATGGTGCAATGCAATTACACATTTCCACCAGAGAGGTCCCCAAATCCCCAAAACTTACATAGTATTGCATTATTTACATAGTAGGTTATGCAATGAATAAAATTCAGTTTACGTTCTGTATTGACAGTTTTGAGTATTTATACAGATACTATAATGATTTTTCCATTTTATTTCATGACTAAAAGGATGCTTTTTTTTTTGCTTTCCGCAAAGCAAGACTGTACACACAACAATAACCTCATGTACTTACAAATACAAATTTGGTGTGGATCGAAAGTTTGGAATATTCAACAGAATCGTGAGAAAAGTGAGAAATAACACAATTATGTTGTCACCAGCAATAACTGCAACTTTCAAGAGTTCCACTGATTCGTTACACGCTACCAGACTGACCTCTCAAGATGTGAGTTTGCAAAATGTTAATTAGTGCATAAATTAATGTATATATATGGTTGTATGTGAATGTTTGAACACCCCTGGTCAAATTACGTTTTGTTGATTTTCTAAGAGAAAATAAGTGAACATACATGCTATAGAGGACAAACTTAAATATGGCATTTTTTTCTGCAAATTCTAGTGCACAATAGTGTATCTAGTGTATTTGCTGAATTTAACATATTGGAGAAAAATAAAATATGCAGAAAATTACTTTTGCACAGGCCATTTAAAAAGTTAGTAAATAAGCAGTAATTGTGCACTAAAATGTGCATTAAATGTGTTCCCTGCAGAGGATGTATTCACTTTTTTTCACTTAGAGAATCAACAAGATGTCATTTGACTAGGGGTGCCAAAACTTTTGCATATGACTGATCATGGTTTAGGCAAAGTGACGCATGCTGCAGCTGAAGGGATTATGAATTTCATGTCATACAGTTATTAGCCTACATGTAAACAATATGCTGTATGGCTTGGATTACATGTTACTGTCATAGCAAAACTTTGTATCTTCACATGTAGAAAAAACCTTTCTTTATGTCTTATTGTAGGTCATTTGGGACCATTTCTGTTGGTCCATTCATGGTGAAATGGTCATATTTTTAAGGGCAGCTGACAGAATTAGTGAATTTTGAGTATTTTAAAATCCAGGTGTTATATTCTCCGCCCTGCATCACCACAGGTTTAACCAAATGTACATAGTTGTGGGCTTGTACTACACAGGGTCGGCAGCCCAAACCACTCACGGCCAGTCTAAACACTCCGATCTAGACCAAACTTACACATTTCACCTGTCCTCGAACCACTGAAGAGTCTCTGACGATGCGGGTATATTATCCTCCTTCCCTCAAATAGGATAAACATTAGTCTGTGCTTTATCTTCTTATCTTTTATCTGAAGCACTGCGAAGGCTAGCATCTGCATCAGGCTGACACTGAACTGCCGGCTGTGAAACATGTAGGCCATTCAAATGACAGAATCGCCTCTAACCACCATTAGAGTGATTATGTGCCGAGGCACAGAGAAGTGGATGCTGCCCATTTTTCGTGTTTCACAGTTATTCATGCTCAAATTCATCAGTGTAGGCCAATAACTCAAAGAGGAGACACGGGGGATGTTTTTGGCAAAGCGATAAAACCCTCCGCAGCCTCGCCGAACAGTCCTGCCACACGTCTCGTCCAAATGATGACCTCAAACGTGCCACTGAGTTCAGCCTGCCCGTTTATGAGGCACGTAAAGCTCTTCAAACGAGGATTAGCAGACTCGAACGCTTTTTTTTCTGTGTAGTAAAAGGAGGAGACACCCAGAGGCTCAAATGGAGCTCCGCCAGGCCGCGTCCTCCATCTGAGGTGTTGACAGCGAGCCTGACATCATCGAGATAGCTAGATGAGCTACAACACACGCTCTGTCTCTCCTGTTTAATGGGATAGTCCAGCCAGAAATACAGCTGTGGCTAGCATGAAAGCTAAGAGGGACTGAAGAGCAGCGATTTCTTTTTGCTATTTTGTCA